AGACAGCGAGATCGAGATCATCATCGATCATCAAGACATGACGATGATCGACATCATACTAGTCGTCGTTCTGAAAGGTATGTAAAGGATTATTCAATAGTTCAATTTAAGAAAAAGAAAAGCATACTATTTTCTCATTAAATTTCATCTTTTTTTTGGAATAGATCTCCGGAAAAAGAAATACCATTACCAGAAGAAGAAATAGTACAATTCAATCCAGAAGATGTTGTACTGGATTTTTGTAAGTAGAAACTGAATATATATATCGAATAAGATGAAGATTTCATGCTATCTCTTAGTAAATCTAAGCTTCTTAGAGGAAGACACACAGTTGAAAGATTTTTAAACAGAAGATAAAATCTCGAGGCGCTAGTGAATCGTATTTCTCTAAAAGATTTAGGGTGCGGCTTCGGGATTGAGTTTTTTATAAATAGAGACTTCAGCTTAATTCTTGGGTTCTTTTGAAGATGTACGATGATTAGAGAATAAAATTCTCTATCAGGCTATTGTACTTTCAGATCTCATTCAAGATATATGAAGAAGAAATACCTGCGGGATTAGAAAAACCCCGATTTTTCGGATTTTTAAATCCTGTTGGTATTTGTCGTGTAATACATGTTGAGTGAGATCCGAAAATACAATAGCCTGATAGAGAATTTTATTCTATATTCATCATACATCTTCAGAAGAATCAAGCTGAAGTCTCTATTATGAAAATACTCAATCCCGAAGCCGCACCCTAAGGAGATTCCATAATGAGTGTTAATCATTATTCCATATTTTTATATTTATAGATACATCGGATTTAAATTTGACTATTAATACGGATTGTTTATCAGCATCGAATAAATCTAATGATGCTTTATGTTTTTTATGGGCTGGTACACGCGCAACTTATGGATTTAAACAAGGAAAAATTTGTTATGAAATTCGAGTATATTTTTTCTTTTCTTCTTCTTATTATTGTATCTAATTATTATGTATTAGATAACTGAAATAATCGATTGTCCACATATGCCAGATAGTGAAAAAGAAAAATATGGTATACGTATTGGTTGGTCAAATTTATATTCTGGTCTTCATGCACTACAATTAGGTAAGAAGAAAAAAAAAAGATTATTTATTTCTATGAAACAAATCGATTTTTCATTTCAGGTGAATTTAATGATTCATTTGCTTATACATATAGCGGAAAGAAAATGAGTAAAATTAATGATGAACTATCTGAAGATACGTATGGTGAATCATTCGGTCTGTCAGATATTCTTGGATGTTATATCGAATTTGGATATAATGATGATGAGAATTTAATAAATATATCATTTACAAAAAATGGTCAAGATTTTGGTCAAGCATTTGAATTAGATAAAAGAAAATTTTCAAATGATGATGATGATGATAATGCTAATAATGAAAATCGTCTCATATTTTATCCCCATATTTTAGTTAAAAATATTAAATTTGAATGTAATTTTGGACAATTAGTAAGTTATTTTCTTTGAATGATTTATTTCTATTTGATTTTTTTTTCGTATAGGAAACTTCATGGTCACAAATAAAGAATGATTATATATTTTCACAAAATATTCCATTAGATGAA